CCCCTCTCCCATGTCCCCCTCGAACTGTCAGTCCCATTGTTTTCTCCTCCAGATTGTACATCCAGCCTATCTTACTTAGACAGACCTACGGAGATAATAACATGCACAAAACAAGACAGAGCAAAACCAAGCAACAATATACAACAAAACAACAAACAATGACAAACAAAACAAAACAAAACACAAGAAAGAAAAGCATGTAGTTAGTTCAAGGACTGTTTGTTGGACTTTAGGACTGTTTTCCAGTTCAGTCTGTTGGGGCACCACGCCCTGGCCCCAAAGTCCACCTGCAGCATTCCCTGGGGAACTCCCTGCCCCATTCCCTTGCTGTTCTGTTGCACCCCTGAGTGTTTTGTCTTGGTGTGGCGGGATCAGATTGGGTGCAGTTCCCACACTGTGTCTCTGGTGTTGTCCCCTTTAGGGCTATGGGTCAGTGAGGGACATAGTGTCTCATAGTGGGGCTGGCCATGTGGTCCTCTCTGTGGACTGGCTGCTCTAATCGGGAGCATCATCCTCAAGGCTTGATGGCCTGGTGATCTACCTTTGAAAAATCAGAAAACCCTATGGGTCACCACAATCTCATTGTTTGCAAAGTCAACTCAATGGCAGCTAGCAATAACAATATGAATGGGAAAAGCAACTTTTGATAGGGCGTCCAGGAATGGAGTCCTTAAAGAGGTCAGATCTGAGGATTGATACAGGTGCTAACCATGTAAAAGTGTCAGGGAAGAGAGTTCTAGGTAGACCAAATAATGTGCAAAGGCCTAGTGGTGTAAGTAAGTCTGACTGATTGGAGGAACAGAAGAAAGATCAATTGTCAAAGAGGAATAACTAGGGGCGGGGTTATGCAAGTCTTCTCCTTCATTACACCAACCCCTTTTCTCCAGTTAATCAGTGTTACTAATAATAGTTTAAAATATTGAGTTCCATGCTATTATTAGGCTTTCTCCTACTTATATTTCTTTTCAAGAATTCTTCCCTAACAGTTATATTACAAATCCTAGTGACATTACCGTAATCTGTTTATATTTCACTTTTAAGATTCTTTGCTCATCCAAAATCTCTATTGTGATGCAATTATCATTTAGTTGGAGGTCACCTCCATTATTCTTGTCATATATAGGTGATAGGCTTCTAAATCCTCATGCATCCAAAAATGTTTTCTTAGCTGGGCATACATTTCTTAACTCACATCCATTTTCTTTAATAGTTTGTAAATTTTATTCTGTTTTCTAGTCTTGTAGATGAGAAGTCTGATACTAGTCATTACTTTTTAAGAACTTATTCTGCCTGAAAGTTGTGAAATATTTTCCTTGTCCCTAGAATTATGATTTCCATTAAACCATGCTGTCTTTCTTTATTTGTCTATTTAATTATTACATCTCTATTTATATCTTTTTCCTTCTTCTGGAACTCCTGATTTTCTTAGGATTGCTAAATCTTATATCTCCCTCATGATTGCCATCTCTTTGTATGACTACCCTTCGTTATAAGAGTAGGACAGAAAATGACATGCTGCCTTTCTGCTGATTCAGTGAGGTATACAATAAAAAATACGTTGACATAATAACCCAGCTCATAAATATAATCAAAATTAAAAGTACCTGAAACACAGTATATACACTTACTGTGTTGATCCCTCTGATGCTTAGTTTGGTCCTACTGCCCTTGAGTTGATTCCACCTCACAGAAACACTATATAAGGTTTCCAAGGCTGTATATCTTTACTGGAGCAGAAACCAGAGAGCCGCTAGTGCGTTTGAACTTGACCAGCACCTACCTGACAGCATCACCAAGCTGCTTCTATTCTGGTCATTTTTCCTTCACTTTCTCGGTGGTTTTCAATTAGGGAAGATTTTGCTTCCTAGAGGACATTGGTCACACGTGGAGACATTTTTCACTGTCTGAACTGGGAAGGGTGCCATTGACATCTAATGGATAGAGGTCAGGGATGCTGCTAAGCATACTGCAACGCACAGACAGCTCTCCACACCCAAGAATTGCCTGGTAAAAATGTCAAGTCCAAGATTAAGGACCCCTTTTCTAAACTGATTTCATGACTACAGAGTACAGTGGCTCTAAACCAGGGGTCCTCAAACTACTGCGGCCACATGCTGCTCACCGAGGACATTTATTTGGCCCACTGGGTGTTTTTGCCCATTTTGTTTTTTTACTTAAAAATAAGATATGTGCAGTGTGCATAGGGATTTGTTCATAGTTTTTTTTAAAACTATAGTCCGGCCCTCCAACGGTCTGAGGGACAGTGAACTAGCCCCCTGTTTAAAAAGTTTGAGGACCCCTGCTCTCAACTATAGTTGTGTGTTTATAACAATCAAATGGGAAGATTTATTTAATAAGGCTGGGATTAATTAGTGACTGGTTATTTTTTAAAATCCCTAATGTGTAAAAACATATTCACCTGGAGAATGACTGGGGCTTTTAAAATGTTCATGGATAAAAGAATTAAAAGATAATGGAATTTTTCCATGAACTTTTTCCTTTTTTTTTTTAATCTTCTACTGGTTTTTTTGTTTGTTATTTAATCATTTTATTAGGGGCTCATACAACTGTTATCCCAATCCATACACACATCAATTGTGTAAAGCTCATTTGTACATCATTCTCAAACATCATTTTCAAAACATTTTCTTTCTACTTGAGCCCTTGGTATCAGCACCTTATTTTTTCCCCCTCCCTCCCTTCCCCTCCCTTCCTGATTAACACTTGATAATTTAAAAATTATTATTATTTTTTCATGTCTTAAACTGACTGATGTCTCCCTTCACCCACTTTTATGTTGTCTGTCCCCCAGGGAGGAGGTCACATATAGCTCCTTGTAATCGGTTCCCTCTTTCCTACCCACTCTCCCTCTACCCTCTCTGTTTCGCCACTCACACCACTGGTCCTGTAGGGATCATCCGCCCTGGATTCCCTGTATTTTCAGTTCCTATCTGTACCAGCGTACATCCTCTGGTCTAGCCAGACTTGCAAGGTCGGATTCGAGTCATGGTAGTGGGAGTGGGGAGAAAACATTTAGGAACTAGAGGAAAGTTGTATTTTTCATCGTTGTTACATCGCACCCTGACTGGCTCATCTCTTCCCTGAGACCCCTCTGCAAGGGGATCTCCAGTGGCTTACTAATGGGCTTTGGGTCTCCACTCCACACTCCCCCCATCATTCACTATGGTAAGGTTTTTTGTTCTGATGATGCCTTATACCTGATCCCTTCGACACCTCGTGGTTGCGTAGGCTGGTGTGCTTCTTCCATGTGGGCTTTGTTGCTTCTGAGCTAGATGGCTGTGCATGAACTTTTTCAAGACCTTCATGTATAACCATGAATATCCAATCCTAATTTCATTTGCATTCCCTTCTCCCCCTAAAACACTACTTATTAACCTGGCAGTAAAAGCAATTTTTATATCCCTTATTCAAATTTTCAGTTAAATTAATTCACAAATTAAAAAACAAAACAAGATTATGGTAGGTACTATGGTGGTGTAGTAAGTTACATATTGGGCTGCAACCACATGGTCAGCAATTCAAACCCACCAGAAGCTCTGATGGTGACAGATGAGGCTTTCTGCTTCCATACCGATTTTCAGCTTCAAATTCAAAGGGACAGTTCTACTCTTGTCTGTTGGGTCACTATGAGTCGGAATCGACTCAATGGCAGTAAGTTTGGGTTTGAGATTTTGTAAAAATAAGATCAGTTGTATTTAAGTCACATAGCAGAGATCATACATAACAGGTCAGTCTTGTTGTAAAGAGAACTTTCTAGCAGGGGGTCAGAATGACTTTTAAAGTGAACTGCCTTTGAGTTCCCCAGGAGCCCGGGCACACACTGATTAATCAGTCAGCTGACAATTGAATGGTCAGTGATTTGAACCCACCAGCTGTTCCCAGAGAAAGGTGTGATAATCTGTTCCCGTAAAGATTACAGCCTGGGAAGCCTGCAGAGCAGTCAAGCTCTGTCCTGAAAGGTTGCTATGAGTCAGAACTGACTTGATGGCGACAGACTGAATTTCCAGAATTGGAGGAGATGGCCTTCAGTGATCGAAGCAAAAAGTGACCAAAAGACATAGATTTGAAGATCTATGTCGTTCTTTTAAATCTAACTTGTTTTGCTATTATCTGCCAACAGGTACAACGGTAGCAGCATTAAAATTATTTAAGAACCTACCTGTAAGAAAGCAATTTTACTCGACTGCTAAAAAATGTAAAGATGAAATTAAAAAAGTCCATGATCTTCTCATCAGCTATGGTATTCTTAAACCTGACTTAAGGATTATTTTTATACATAATAAGGTAAGTGTTACTGTACTTTTATAAGTGTTTTACCTCTTTTTCTTATATGAGATTGTATTTTATCTAAATAAGTTATATATATAAAGAATCTTAAGGAATGTAGTCACATTCACATTAACCTCCTGTAATCCTATCAACTAAGCCAATTGACAATATGACAAATAGAAAAAAGATTGAAGTTGTTAAATACTTGATTTTACTTGGATCCACAATCAATGCTCATGGAAGCACTAGTCAAGAAATCAAACCACGCATTGCATTGAACAAATCTGCTGCACGAGATCTCTTTAAGGTGTTGAAGAGTAAGGACTAAGGTACAATTGACCCAAGCCATGGTATTTTTAATCACTTCACATGTTTGTCATTGTTGGACAATGAATAAAGAAGACGACAAAGAATTGATGCATTTGAATTAAGTTGTTTAATATTGAAAGTAGCAGGGACTACCAAAAGGACAAATAAATTTGCCTTAGAGCAAACACAACCAGATGGTGCCTTAGAAGCGAGAATGGCGAGCCTTTATCTTACATATTTTGGATAGAGACCAGTCCCTGGAAAAGGACATGCTTGGTCAAGTAGAAGGGTTAGTGGAAAGAAGAAGACCTGGATGAGAGGGATTGACACAGTGGCTGCAATAACAGGTTCAAACAACAATTTTGAGGATGGCAGAGGTCTGAGCAATGTTTTTACAATAAAAAGCATACGGGGCTATGTCTGACCTCTGGTTTCTCTATTGCCATGAGGCAGGAGTCAGACATGTCTCCACTCTATCCTTCTTTACCTACTCTGACACCAACAATTCCTCCCATGGCACTCTACTTCTATGGGGTTCTATAATTTATTGCAATGGCTATAAACTCACAGGTAGTATAATTATGAGAGTTTTATTAGGGAAGTTAACAGGTTACCACAAGTCACAATCAATAGCCAGTAAGAATATAGTTATTAGTCCACAACAACATCTCTCCTCGGTCAGTAATCAAATCTCTCTCTCTGGTCTTCAGCCTCATAGCCACATGGTCCCTTGGCCTTTCCCTTACAGTCCTATCATCTTGGTGCTGTACCTTTTGCTCTGTTCTATAGTCTCTGTGCTCCACTCTCTGGTACCTCTGGTTTGGTCCCTGCCATGTCAGACAGAGATCTGGAATGTCCTTTTCCAGTGGTCTTAGGCTTTTTTTCTTTCCTGCATCCTTGTAGTCAGGGGAGCGGGCAGTAATGAAAACTCACCAATGTCCTCTATTAGTTGTCACACACTTACATAATCCTACTTACATAATCCTACCCAATCATTTGGTGGGAGTCCCAGAAACACTGGCAGAAAAGCCATGCTAAGAAATTTTACTCCACCACAGTTGTGTTTTGTTCTACACATGGTCACTGTGAGTTGAAACCAACTCAATAGTAACTAACAACAACCACAATTCTGAAAGAAAACCAAATGAAATAGACATATTGTATGTTTGTCCTCCTAGTTGAACTCATTGAGGTTTACTACTTTGCTTAGTATTACGCAGCTAGTAAATTATTGAAATCAGATTTGAAATTTAGCATGTTGTCTTCTCATTTACATTTATATCGTTCTCCAAGTTTCAGAACATTTTCATAAATCTTTTTGGTTTTCGCGATAACTTTATAACTTTGTGATATAGACAGCATTATTTCTATTTGTGTGGGGAACTTGAAACTCAGAGGAATTGTTTTATATTAGACAATAACGTAATAGTGCTAAAGCCAGAACCAGATTGTGGCTTTAAAAAAAAATTAAAATACCACCCCCCCACTTCCTAAAAGATGATTTTATTGGCAGTCTTACAGCTCTTATAACAATCCATACATCAATTGAATCAAGCATATTTGTACAAATGTTGCCATCATTATTTTCTAGACATTTACTTTTTTTAAGTCATTTTATTGGGGGCTCATACAACTCATCACAATCCATACATACATCCATTGTGTCAAGCACATTTGTACATTTGTTGCCATCATCATTCTTAAAACATTTTCTTTCTTGAGCCCTTGGTATCAGCACCTTATTTTTTCCCCCTCCCTCCCTTCCCCTCCCTTCCTGATTAACACTTGATAATTTAAAAATTATTATTATTTTTTCATGTCTTAAACTGACTGATGTCTCCCTTCACCCACTTTTATGTTGTCTGTCCCCCAGGGAGGGGATTATATGTAGATCATTGTGATGGCTTCCCACTTCCCCCACCTTTCCCTTCTCCTCCTGGTATCACTACTCTCTTATTGGTCCTGAGGGGTTTATCTGTCCTGGATTCTCTATGTTTCCTTCTCTTATCTGTACCAGTGTACATCCTCTGGTTTAAGGTAGAATTGGGATCTTGAAAGGTAGAATTGGGATCTTGATAGTGGGGGGTAGGAAGCATTAAAGAACTAGAGGAAAGTTGTACTGTTTCATAGATGCTATACTGCACCCTGACTGGTTCATTTCCTCCCCGTGACCCTTTTGTATGGGGATGTTCAGTTGCCTACAGATGGGCTTTGGGTCTCCATTCTGCACTCCCCCTCATTTACAATGAAATGATTTTTTGTTCCTTGATACCTGATCCTGTTGACACCTCTTGATCACAGACTGGTGTGCTTCTTCCATGTGGGCTTTGTTGCTCCTCAGTTAGGTGGCCATTTGGTTATCTTCAAGGCTTTAAGACCCCAGATGCTATCTATATCTTTTGGTAGCCGGGCACCATCAGCTTTCTTCACCATATTTGCTTACGTGCCTGCTTTGTCTTCAGCAATCGTGTCCCAAAGGTGAACATCATAAAATGCCAGTTTAATAGAACAAAGTGTTCTTGCATTGAGGGAGTACTTGAGTTAGAGGCCCAATGTCCCTCTGCTACCTTAGTACTAAACCTATAAATATATGTAACTCAGAGGAATTACTGAAACCCAAATGAAGGCTGAACATGATAGTGGGATATGAGGAAAGTAAAAGGAAATAGAGGAAAGAGCTAGGAGGCAAAGGGCATTTATAGAGGTCTAAATACAGGCATGTACATATGTAAATATATTTTTATATGACGATGCGAATATAGATCTATGTGCATATATTTATAGACATTTTTCTATTGAGCCCTTTGTATCACTTCCTCTTCCTCCCCCTTCATGACCCCTTGGTAAATTAGAAATTATTATTTTCATATCTTACACTGACCACTGTCTCTCCCCACGGTTTCTGTTGTTCGTCTCCTGTGGGGAGGTGTGGGTGTGGTCATGTGTCATTCATGGAGATCGGTTCCCCCTTCCTCCCCTCCTCTCCCCGCTTTCCCCTTGGTATCACTACTCCCATTCCTCTTCCTGGATTCTGTGTGTTGTGAGCTCTTATCTCTTATATGTCCCTGTGCGCATGCTCTGGTCTAGCCTGAAGTGAAAGGCAGTACTAGGGTCATGATAGTGGGGGGTGGAGGAAGCCTCAAGAAACTGGAGGTGTGTTTCATCAGTGCTTTACTGCGTCCTGGTTGACTTATTCCTCTCCTTGTGACCCTTCTGTGAGGGGATATCCCATGGTTTGGGTCTCTGCTCCAACCCCCCTCGTTCTCACCAATATGTTTTTTTGTTTGTTTTGGGTCTTTTGAGGCCTGTTACCCAATCCCATTGACACTTCATGATCACACAGGCTGATATGCTTCTTCCATGTGCGCTTATTGCTTCTCTGCTATATGGCCACTTGTTTAACCTTTAAGACCCCAGACACTATATCTTTTGATAGTCGGGCATCTTCCGCTTTCTTCACCATATTTGCTTATGCACCCATTTTGTCTTCAGCGATTATGCTGGGAGGGTGAGCGTCACAGAATGCCAGTTTGTTAGAACGAAGTGTTCTTGCACTGAGGGAGGGCATGAGCAGAGGCCCGAGATTGTGGCTCTTTCAATCTTGTTTTCTTTCTTCCCCATGTCTTTACATGCTATCAAGAAGCTTACTTATTACATGAAGCCATGGTGAAATACTCATCCTAAATATCTCTGGTCATCTTCACAAAAGAAAAGAATAGTCAGTCACCTGTTTCTGTTGGCATTGGGCTCACCCAGATAATACCTTGAGATCCTTTCCATGTCTACTACCATGGTATGATTCCTCAGGATGCTCATTCTGCTACTATCAATCACCTCTTGATCTGAAAAACATTTAGTAATTAAAAGTTAAATGTCCTCACAGAAAAGTGGGTGAAGGGAGACGTCGGACAGGGCAGGATATGACAAAATAAACAATTTATAAATTATCAAGGGCTCATAAGGAAGGGAGGGAGGGAGGGGGAAAAAATGAGGACCTGATGCTGGGGGCTTAAGTGGAGAGCAAATGTTTTGAGAATGACCAGGGCAATGAATGTACAAATGTGCTTTACACAACTGATGTATGTATGGATTGTGATAAGAGTCGTATGAGCCCCTGAGAAAACGATTAAAAAAGAAAGTGAAGGGGAAAAAAAAAAGTTAAATGTCCTCAAGGTGAAAAAGGACCAAGGACAAGAGAAACAATAATCACGTAGGGAAAACCAGAAGAAAAATATGAATAATAGGAATTCCCTCATCATGAAAGAGTATGACTAAGGGGAAAATTTTAGTGTAAGAGAAAATACTATAGAAGAAAAAAATATTTGATATTATAATGAGTTATATTCATATGAAGTTAAATATATATTGTGTAAGCATTTTATAAGTTTATATCAGTTTCCCAAGCAATAGAAGATCATTAATCTGGACCTTTCCTTTTAAAAATGGAAAGCAATATTTTATAATATCCAGCATTTTATTATTTTTGGAGGACATCCTATTAGAACTTATATTGAGCAAATTCAAATCATTCCATGGCCTTCTGGAATTTCAGGTACAGTACAAACCCTGAAGAATATACTGAGAATGTTATGACATGAAAGTAATTAAGATTATCAAAAGTCTTAAAGAGTAAAATACCTGTTATTACATATATCACGAAATGATTTATTACAGGTTTTTAGGAAAGCTTCAAGCATTTTTCTTTC